AAAAGGATCAAAATTGGTTCACTCTTTAATAAACTCATTTCTAACAAAACTGTTCTTGTGTGATGCCAGTCTTACCTAATGAAATAGAAAATATACGTGTAACATATAAAAAGTCAAGCTTGCAATATTCATGAAAATTTTCTTTATTTGAATACTAAAAAAGAGAAACTTAGTAAAACATAAGGAGAGAATTTCAACTAATGGCAAAATGTTTGTTAAGCACCTACTTTTGGGATTTCTTCAGTTTCCTTAATCAGAAAACCTTCGTTGCATTTGAGAATATGGTTCTTATAAAAGAGAGGTGCATGAAAAATGTGGTTAACCTGTTCTTTAGGTGGCCTTTTCCCACCTCCTCTTTTTTCCAGAAGCTACTCTTTGATGGGTCCACCAACTGTATGGGAAGAGAAGGGAGTACAAACTCTCAGGGCCAGAGCAAACAATGCGCATTTTATAGTACAGCAGTAAAAGTCACAGTTCTGGATTCAGGATACCCAGTGGAACAGTTCCCACCAAATTCAGTGAGTCTAGATGCTAGCAAATACCAGGCCTCTTCAATAAACCAGTGTAAATCAAAGCCAGCCAAAAAAAAAAAATCCACTGAAGAAGTGGGCCCATGTGAACCTCATGAGGTTCAACAAGGCCAAGTGCAAGATCCTGCACCTGGCTCAGGGCAGTCCTCATTAATAATAGCAGCTGGGGGATGATATGATATAGAGTAGCCCTGAGGAAAAGGACTTGCGGGTACTCGTTGATGAAAAGCTGAACATGAGCCAACAATGTGCACTTACAGCACAGAAGGCCAATTGTATCCTGGGCTGCATCAGAAGAAGCATGGCCAGCAGATCCAGAGGGGTGATTCTACTCTTCTGCTCTGCTCTAGTGAGACCTCACCTGGAGTACTGTGTCCAGCTCTGGAGCTCTCAGCACAAGAAGGACATGGACGTATTGGAGCGAGTCTAGAGGAGGGCCACAAAGATGATCAGAAGGCTGGAGCAGTTCTACTCCAAGTACAGGCTGAGAGAGTTAGGTCTGCCCAGCCTGGAAAAGGGAATTCCCTGGGGAGACCTCATAGTGGCCTTCCAGTACGTGAAGAGAGCCTACAGGAAAGCTGGGGAGGGACTGCTTACAAGAGTGTGTAGCGACAGGACAAGAGGCAGTGGTTTTAAACTAGGGCAAGGTAGATTTTAATTAGATACCAGGAAGGATTTCTTCACTATGGGGGTGGTGAAACACTGGAACAGGTTGGTGGTGGAGGCTCCATCCTTGGATACATTCAAGGTGAGGCTTGATGGGACTCTGAGCAACCTGCTCTAGCTGAAATGTCCCAACTCACTGCGGGGGTTGGACTAGACAACTTTTAAAGGTCCCTTCCAGCCCAATGTATTCTATGATTCAATGATTCTATGATTCTACAAGTCTATGATTCTAAAATATTTCACCAGCATAGTTCTGGCTTCTGCAGAACTATGTCAAAGCTGCAACACTTATGCATGTTAGGTGATGTGTTAAAATTTTCTTTTAGAAAATAAATTAAAGTAAGCGCTATGGGAATGTGTAATAGAAGGTGTTCACCAGAAAAAAAAATGCTTTTTTCCTGAGTGGAACAAAAGATGTTTATGATACCTCATAATGAAAATCTATTTGAGCAGTAGACATGATTTTTCTAATCACTTAAGACTTCCAAATCCATTTAGAAATACTGTTTTCTTTTTTTGCAGGAGGGCACTGCAGTCAATGTTATGCAGCAGTAAATACAAAAATGAGTAAGATACAATGACTCTAGTAACATGTTTTTCTCATGAACACTTGCGTCTCTTTGCCTCTAGGAATACTATTGTTAGCTTTACCATAATTCTGAAAGTGTTTAATATGTTTCTGGTTTGTAATACATTTGAAAGCATGAAATCTTAACAGTTCCATGTTTTCTGCTTAGAATATGATGAAAAGCACTGATTTGAGAACACCTTTAGGAAACCTCTCTCAGTTTAAAGTAAGCACTGTGGTCACTATGCAACTTGTGTTCAATGCAGTTCAAGTGTAAACAGATCCACCGCTTAAATAAACTGGTATGATCCCATGAGCTGCTGTTTAGTTGGCTGATACAGCATCAGACATCTGTGTTTATTTTATTGTACATGATATGAGATTGATATCTCTCAGCAGAGATTTCTCCTCCTTACAGCGACATAGAGTTTTGACAATTGCATGGGAGACAAGTCCCTGCTATGGGCAGGGATGCTGCACACAGATACTGAGCAGATATTCAGAGGCAAAGTGAAGCTGCGAGATAGATAGCTTGATATTCAATCAGCCATTCTGCTTGTGTGATGGAAAGAAGGGTACTGTGATCTACTAGTCACTGTGCTTGCGCAGGAGGTAGATTCAACAATCTGCTCGAGCTGGTAGAAGCATGGTACTCAAAGTGGCTCATCTTGCACGGAGTGACAGCTGGTATAAGGTGCGATACTCTGGAGATAGGTCTGTAAATATGGGGTTCAAACTGCAAATAATGATTTATAGGTTTGTTCGGTCCCTTCCAGCCCAATGTATTCTATGATTCAATGATTCCATGATTCTACAAGTCTATGATTCTAAAATATTTCACCAGCTGCCCTTTATCACAAAGTTAAGAATTTTCAGTAAATTCTTATATTCAGAATTTTTACTACACTGTAATGAAAATCTGAATTGCTCTAGAATTTATGTTTGTTTTTTTTTCTTTAAGAGAGCTCTCCAAATATTTAGGATATGTCTCACTAAGGCTTTGAAATGGAAGAAAAGCAAAATAGGAAGTGGAGGATGCTTTTGCTTTTATGTATTTTTGTACTTTTCCTATTATACAAAGCTTTCTGCTGCTAGTAGTCATTTGAACTCATTGTCTTAGCAACTTCAACGTCCAACAGAAACCAAGAGCTCTTTTATCCAGTCTCCATAGAAGTACAGCAAGATTTCAGTCTGCTGCTTGCATACTAGGCAAGTCTTTTCACCCGTGCTTCGCAATGACTCACTGAATGACCCAAGTAAATTTTACCAATATGAGCTTGCACAGGGTCCATAAATTGTTGTTTTAAATGCAGAATGAATGCTTGTGTACAAAAGTGTAAATTAGGTCTAGAATATTTTTTGGAGGTCCAAGTACTTGAACCATTAGTTTAGATCTGGGAAATCCAAGGTTCTGAAGAACATTTAAAACAAAGTCAATCTGCATTTAGATACAGAGTTGTGACTGACTGGAAGCTCCCTATTTGAAATCACCTTTCTGGTGCATCTAAGAAGGGAAAGGAAGGATGCACATTTCAATCTAGATATGTTTGTGCTTTTGTAGCTAGTTTCCCTTGATCTCAAAGCTATTTTAGCAATGCTGCTTACGAGCAACAGTCCCAGTAGGATTTCATTACATCCATGCAACTGCTAGGAATCATATTGAAGATGTGCCATTCATGTTTCTTAGAACAGGAAAGTACAGACATAAGCTGGCCAGTACAGTGGTCGTAACTGTTTCTCTCTGGGCAAATCAGTCCCTTATCACTCCTTCAGTCGGCAAACAAAAGTAATCTGACACTTGTAGTGTTTTTACTGCAGTAACATCTAATTCTGCCTTGAGTATATGCAGCAGTCTCTCACGTCTGTAAATTATACTTACCACAAGTACAGGATCAGCTGAAAGCATGGCATCTGTGTCTCTGTTACACATTTCTCAGCTGCATTTCTCTGATAATGTCTATCACAGTATGGAAAGCTTTTTTTTTTTTTTTTTTCCCCCCAGTCACTCTATATCAGACAGCTCTGGATCGGCTCTCCTGTGTTCAGTAGGCAAAATTACACAATCAAAGCTGTCATTCCTACTCACAGTAGTGGGTTGAAAGAAGCTGCTCTGGAGAGTAGTGATTTTTGCCTTTATCTTCCAGGAAACTGGCATGATTGGATTATTTTTTATTAATATACAGATATTAATTTAGAGTACTGATGGACGGTAAATTGATAATAAACATTGCTACATTAAAATTTAGCAAAATAAAATTAGTTTTTTACACACTCTGTTTAACAAAGCCATACTGATCAAGTTGGAAAGGGGACTGTACTAACAGAATTTTCAAAAAATACTGCTTCAGCAGAATAGACTAAATATGAAATCTGAGCCTAATGAAATCAGTGACAAATTTTCTGTAGATTATGCAGCACCAACATTTTTGCCATAATTACAAAGGGTTAGTCAGTATTACATTAGCAACTGTGTCTCAAGAGATCAGAGATATTTGAAATAAAGTAGTTTCAAAATGGCAGTAATAGTTAAGCAGTGGGAGAGCTATGAAGGCATCATTAATGATATATATGATAGTCAGCATGGAGGATAATTTTTTCCAACCTCATAACCAACATTCCCTGATTATTATTTTTTTTAAGGAATATTCTGGGGAAAACACATTCTGTTAACATATTTATTGAGAAAACACTCCATTCACTTCCCTAATAAGAGCTAGCATAATGATAGTTTATTTTCATAAATACAATACACAGCATCATAAGACTGTGGAGATATGTCTGTCAAATCTGAGAAGTGAGTATCACAGCCACACAAAACAAAAATGTTAAAACAAATATACTGAAAACAACAAACTTCTGTAAAGCTTATCATCATCAATGATCATTTAAAATATTATTAACAATATCTAAAATATCACAAATCCATAGTAACACATTGATACTAAAGTTAACTTGTAATAAATATATTGTAGATTTGAATTCTTGTCTATCATTTGTCACAGGTCATTACATAATTACATGTCACACTAGTCTACAATGTAAGTAACAGAGATCAATCTGTTTACAATTCAGTAACTACAATCACTAACATCGGGAATAATTATCTTCTGAAATTATTTTCATCCCCTTCTGTGTATGTTAACACACGTAAGTACACTTCTCTACTTGAGTTAAATTATCTAGCAAAATTACTGGCAATATTCACTTTTAAATTGGCGTGCTCATCTTTGAAATCTTTATGCAAAATCCTTTGAAACAGCCTCTATAAAATTTGGAGCAGACATGAGTATTGTAAATGTGCAAATGATGGCAAAAAGGGTAAATGCAACCAGGCATAATCTGTCTACGACAGCAGCTGCAAACTTCCACTCACTACAGATCTCTTCACCCTCATCTTGTTTCCTGAAGCGCATTGCTATGAACTGAACTTCCTCCAGGATCTTCACAATCACTGGAACAGTATCCATTAAAACTTTCTTTTGAACAAGCTCAACATCTTCTGGTAAGGGGCAAGTAATTTTTCCACTCCTGCTACCCAGATCATTCTTCTGGGTGCAGCGTGAATTTTCTGTTGCATGGTAGCTATAGGTCGTGTTGCCATTGCTAGACTGGTGCCCAGGTAGGACATTCATCTCCATGCTGCTTATGCTCAGATCATGCTTGAGACAGTCATATTTGCAAGACAAGGGCTTTAAACTTTCCCCGGGTTTCTTCATTCGTAAAAACCAAGCACACCAATTCAGTACAATGACACGGACCTGAAAGAGATTGAATGTAACAGAATTAAAGGGAACTTTTCTGCATTTTAACAAGGTTTTAAAATATTCTGTGACTATGAGAGTTAGTCCGTATGGTTCTTTGGAAAGATTGATTGTTTTCTGTGTTCTCCAGCTATCTGCTTTCAAATATTTTTGAGGGGGAGGTCCAGTTTCTTCCCACAGATGACCTTTTTCTGGATGTCCTAAACACAGAGGTGTTCAATGCTCACTTACAAAGAAAAAGAGATGTGAAATCTTACTTTACAAAATTATTCTTGAAGTCCTATCTTTAGCAAAAAATCACAGAACTCTGTTGGCTGCATGGTTTTCCATCATTTCTCAGATAGTATGGAAGAAGATACACTTAAATATTTGAGAGCTGTAATGTTTAGATTCTGCTGGAAAAACCCTATAGAACAAATTAACAGCTGTTACTAGCACATTCCCAAACCTTGTCTCTATTGTTTAAGTCTAAATAAACAGCCTTGGTTGTTAGGTTTTTTGGTTGGTTTTTAGGTTTGCTGGTTTTTTTTTCCATTTGAAACTATTTTAATACTCTTTTCAAGAGTTCAGCCACATAACAGAGCAGGCTTTTTCCAAAAGAATAATAGCAAATCAATTAAATTGGGCAGTTCAGAATCTGAATACTGCTTTAACTACTGTCATTGCCCTGTGCTCTGGTATACAACTCTTTTGGCACATCATGAGAGTGCTCTAACCCACACATGGCAGATTGTGCCCCATATGTTTCTTATCAAGATCATCAAATGTGCTTACTCCACAGAGTGTATCCAGCATATTTTCCCAGTGAATTGATATTCACATCTTGTCTGAAATCCGAGCCTGCTATGATTCCTGTTGTTAACATTGTTTTGTGTGAATGGCAGTAAAAAAGCTGTGATATCAACAACACCTTGTGTGAAGACCAGCAAACTAAATCAGTAAATTCTTGTAACTGTAAAGACCTTCAGGTATTATGTATATAAAATGGACATTTGCAAGATGATTGTGAGAGTCTCTCAGGGAAGACAGGTGGCCTATTCAATGACTTTATCATTCTGGTTGCAAGTCGAATAATCTGATGTCCAGGAGAGAACAGACATGACTTTTGGTTTCACCTCTGAGCCTTGGCCCAGGACTCCCTGTGTGATCCTCTCCAGTCACTTCAGCCATGTTTGATTCAGGACCACAGTTTGCCTCCAAGGTTGTTTTATATGCAGGACAAGTTGTGCTCTGTTTGCACAGTACAGATGCAGAGATGAGGAAATAACAGCTAGCACTTTGAGTTGCTGCTGCAATGACAAGCATAATTTCAGAAAGGAGGAAGCATTAATTTCACAGGTGGGAATAGTAAAAGCCAAAACCACTGACAAGTGGAAGACGGTTACACAATTTCAAAATTCTGCAGTGTGAGCTTTTCTGGGTCACAGCCCTGTGCCATTTTCTGCTCTTTTCCCACTAATGAATCTTTTATTTTTAATCCTGAAATACTATTTTCCTATGATTCACATTCTGCTTTCACTGAGATCTTTAAGTATTTCATTATTTCCTCCATGGTCTATAACAGACAAATAGAAAACTGTAATGTAGCAGCCAAAAAAAAATCAATCCTGCATTTCAATGAAGTTACTTACTTACAGTGTCCTCTGACTGCTTTCGGATGCAAAACAGAATATCAGGGAACTAAATAAAGGTCTTAATTACTATCAACATTTCAATGGTCTCAGTGGCAAAGGGTAGAGAGAAATGAATTCTCCAGTACTGTGAAATTCCAAAATACTAAGCCAGACACACTTTCTTATTAGAAAATGTTAATATGTCTGCTTAGCTCTGGAAGGAGATGTGAAGTGAAAAAGCACTATTTTACAAGAATGCTACTTTTTCTTTCAAGGGAAAGTGTTTACTCCTTACGGAAATTACATTTATAAATACAGCCAACCTCAACACAGCTTTTAATTTGCTAGAACTTCCAAATGCCCTATTTCCTAGAAAACGCAGACACTCAAGCACCTATCTGTTCTTGTTGTATCAGGAGACAGCTGCAACATAGAGGTTGTTGAAAAACAGCCCAAACATATGAATCTATATTCTCACCTGCATTATCATCACAGCTGGGTTTCTGTGAAGAAAGGACACAGGTAAAGCGGCCCTCAGAGGTCAACAGCCTAATCCTCCTGTGACCCTCTCCATCAAGGTCCACCCCTAAAACCATAATAGAGCTGTACTGCTAGCTCCCATGACAACTACCTACCTGGCCTAGTCCAGAAGAGAGAGTCTTCAATTAAAGGTTTACTGATAAGTGGCAGCATCACCTGAGCAAATCTGTAGATGTCCAGGTTTAAAGCACATCAAAAGAAAAGCCTGAAACCCAAAAAGCTTAATTCAGGCCAGCAAAGAGCCAGAGAGCTCTTGACTTTTCCTACAAAAACTCTTTTTTCTCTCTGTGCTTGGTCTCTCCATATCTCTTGACTAGTTGGTAGTCTTAGTTGTTAGCAGAGGTAGGCCAATGGAGCTGTAACCCAAGCCTGATGCTATCCACTCCCAAACTTCTTCTTGGCTGGGCCTTCTTTAGTGCTCTTTTTCATGCTATTTCAGCAGGCTAAAAAGTGTCAATTAGCCATTAGCTCTCTTTTCTTAGCTAAGCAGCCAACAAACGCCCTAACTGAACACCTCAGATCTAAACGCCTCTCTTGGAAAAAGTTGGCTTTAGTAAGTCATCAAAGACTAATAGAAAGACACAACTCTCAGCAGAATTGTGGGGTAATGGAAGAAGTGAGGACCTACAGAAAGCCTAAATACTAACATGCACACCTCCTCCCTCCTCCGGTTCAAAGGACAAGTACTGAGTCCTTGCGAGACAGAGAGGGAAAAGAAACTTCACAACTCTGAATAGTTTGGAAACTGAGTGTTTAGGCAATGTGGTCAGCTAAATCTTCCAGGTCTGGAGCTGCTCCTAACCCTTCCCTGCAACTTACTGCAGCAGCAAATTCCATTTAAGCAGGAGGTAAGAAAATTCCTGTAACAATATCCAATTAATAAGGGTTAGAGATTTGCAATAAACTGATGTCTGGCTTTGTCAAGATGAGGAGGGTGTAGGCAGTAAGTAGATGGTACAAGTATGTGCTGGGCCTGGAACTCAGAGAATAAGTTTCAGGTAAGTAATTTTCTTCTTTCTGGGGATGGCTATCTTAGATTCCTGGGGTTTTATTTTGAAAAATCTTTCCCTGTGTCTCTGTAAGAAACACCTGACATAGCTGGACAGGAAAAAAAAAAAATTTGAGACTTTGCCATGAATACTAATGGCTGAGCCTTGCCCATGCCTGGCAGAGGACTAATACCTACTTCTGTGTGGTCAGCCTCTACCCTATATACTTGGCATTCAGCCTTTCTCTCTGAGATCTTTCAGCCCTGTCAGCTTGCCTGGTCTACAGCTCTCACACATCACAGTAATGCTTTCCACAGTAAATGCTTTCCACAGTCTTTGCTTCTCAATGGCATTTTTTTTAATGTGTGCTAGGTCATCTGTCAGAGCATTGAACAAGGTTCCTAAAAAGTGAGAGTGCATTGTCTGCTGTGTTTCCAACCAAGAGAGCAAGAGACCAGTGGAGAGCAAGAGCTGACTTGCAGAGTCTGCGAACAGATTTAACACTTGCCATTGTATCCAGGCCCCTTGAAAAGCAGACGAAAAAATAACATTGTCCATGGGGACTGTCATGCTGCTGCATACCCTGTCCATGTAGATATTTAACACAGGTTTACCCAGATTGGTTCTTTCAGGGCTTTCTTACACACAAGTTCATTGTCATGGGTTTGAGTCTGGTGAGGAGTTTTGTAAAAGCAGGAACAGACTTGTGTGAAGATTCGAGAGCCTCCCCCACTCCCAGGTAGGAGCTGGACCTGCCTCTGGTGAGCGTCAGGCCAATCAGTGCCTCTGCCACCGTAGCTGCTTACCCATTTGGGCATCTTTCCTGCTTGCGGGTCATGATGGTGAAACTGCAGAACCAGCACTGTTACCACCACAGATAAACCAACAATGACCATGATGCTAGCAAAATACTGAGCTGCAAGGAAAGGAGAACTTGGTTAGTAGGGGAAAAAACAAACAAAAGGCAAACAATATTCCTTGGCCATGCCTCAAGATCTACATTTGAGAAGTGCTGTACAACATCCAAACATCATCATCTCTGGTCTTTCACACTGAGCTTTTGAGGCCTTTAAGGTTTTCAGTGCATCTGTTCAGCTCCCTCCTTTCAAGTGAGGGAAAGGCTAGAACCAGTGAAAGACAAAAATTGCTCAGTTCTGATTACCAAAGAGGAATGTAGAGCCTCCTGCTGAGGATCAGCTCCCTGCCTGCTGCTATGACAGTGAGAAGCTGAACTGACCAGACTCATCAAACACCAGCATTCCCAGTCCCAGCTGCCCTGCAGTGCCAGCAGAGGTGCTGGAGGGAAATGCTGTCTTCCTGGTGTCACCAGACTCCCTTAGACGTTGTCACTAAGCCCCTCCCTCACCTCTGCTCACAATGGATGAGGCATATTTTTCAACACCCTCCTCAGCCCTCAAGATCACTTCTTTTGGTTCCTACAAAAGTTAGTTACACTGTCACTGAGTACTAAATTCAAGCCTGCCATGCAGGAAAGAAATCAAGATCTTGAAAGTCAGAACTGAGACCTGAAACCATATCTCCTTAAGTGGCAGCATACTTTTCTCATGTTAAGAGTGAGGCTGATGCACTGGAGTGTAAAGTGGAATTATCCACAAGACTGGTGACATTCGAAGGCTGCTGTGGCAAAATACCAGGGAGCATTACTGTCGACAGATAAAATGGGGCGATGTGGGAAAACACACGACACTGCCCCAAAGTGTAGCCTCCTCCCACTCCCAGCCCTCCCTCCTGCACCTTGCAGGAAAAGTCAAAAATTCAATGCAAGCTCCAAGGCAAGTTTTGTTCCAGCTTTGTTTCTTAATACTAATTCCCACTGCCTCAGCATCAAAAAGTTGGTTCATAATAATGAAGCTCTCAGGCCTTCCTGAGATCAATATCACAATTGCTTCAAGAGGCTTTCCTGGATAAATTATGCAGCTAGATTAGAAGAATAGTCCTGAGGGTGAGGTGAATTGACAAGCCTCCGTTGCACTTACTCATGAGAGAAGAGAGACAACAGCCAGGCAGAAGCAGAGCAAACAAGGAAATCATGTTTCAGAAAAGCTGGCTGATCTGATTCCATTATGCCCAATGTAACAGAAACACAGCAGTGTTGAGTTACTGCCATAAGTCCCTAAATAACTTCTATAAATTCTAGGCATTTTGATGCTGCCAGACTTCAAAAGCCTGAAGTGGTCCATTTAAAATGGCTTTGGCTAGGATTTTTCACAAATCCATGGAAACCAGTCACCTGGTTAAACCTGGAAAAAACTTGGCTCAAGATCCCGGCCAGTCATTACCAGAGGAATTCACATTCTCAGTTTTTTGTGCTCTAAATCTAGAAACAGAAGTCAGGAAACTCCTATGGAAATCTCTTAGTATACAGGGAAAACTGTTCTCTCAGGAACAGACTGGGAACTGCAGGGGATCTGCGGACCCATAAAGAAAGATGATTTATGGCTTTGCCTAGTGATAGACAAGGAAGATGAGTGTGTGTGCATCACCAGTCCCTGGGGGACTTCTGTCCAAGACAGAGTGAAGTTTTCAGTTGGAAAATAAGGATGGAGGAAACAGGGCATGGTACTTCAGCCCCGTTGCCAGTATCAGGCAATCAAATGTCACAAGATAAAATAAGAACTGTCAGGTAGACATATGCAGACGAGGTAGGTGCAGGTGCTGTGTTCATTTAAAGGGAGAAAGCCCCAAAGCTCTGGAGCAGCCTAGATGTACTCTGGCTGGATTTTGCCAACCCTGAAGAACCAGCAGCCGAAAAGGAAGGAAGGAAGTAGCAATGGCTAGCCCATCTGTCACATTAGACTTCCACTTTTCTGGTTGGAAACATGATGAAGCTTGTTGAATCCTTTCCTGTGGGAAGACAAGGTAGAATTAATAGCCATTGTTCACAAAGGAACTGCTGTATCTTCTGCCCATGCATCTCTTTGACTGAAAACATGACTCTGTGCTTACATTCCAGACCCTGCACTGGGGCAGAGACACACATAAATATGGCCAAAGCCTGGATTCAGTGACTGTTCATCTGTAAGGGAAAAAAAGGCCCCAGCACTGAGCAGATACATCCATAATGCAAAATGGTGCTGTCTCTGAAATTACATCCATGTTCACTCACCATTTTCTGATGTTTTGTTCCAGGGTTTAATCCTACATTTTCTCCTTCACAGCAGCAGAAAAACATGATCCATGGAGAACTGGTGGGGAAGACTCCTGTGCTATCTCCCATGCACATCCCTCAAAGCATGGCTTAATCCTCCTCCAGTCTGCTGGCTTGGTGTCTCTGTTCCTGGCAGTCTTTAGCCCTCACACTAGCCAGATCAAATCCACCACTTGCTGAAAGCTGCAAGGACAGAGACCCCTTTTCACCTCTAGCACTCACTCTGATATGACCTTCTAGCAAACCTGTGAGCAGAGGAGCCTAGCTGCTGAAAGGATCAAGCATAGATGTATCAGACCAACGTGCACAGATTCTTTAAAGGCACAAGACTGCAGTCTTTGCTTACCCTACCCTAGTCTCAACCGGTCCTGAAACTGCAAACTCTTTTCCTGGGCCTCCACTGATGCTGTCAAGCACAGAAATTGGATGTTTTGCTGTGACATGTGGCACAGTAGACAAGCAGTAGTGTAAGAACTGAGCTTTGGTCATGTAAGCAGCAGCCACAGCCCTGCCAACGGATATTTTTCACCAATATTTTAGGGTCCATCCTAAAGCCTATAGCATTTATACCGCTAAGGCTTTGAAGGTGTTGCTCCCACAAAGTCCTATACTGATGTGTGGCTGTTGGCAAGGGTAAATGCAAATCTGATTTTACCAAGAAGCTCAGCCCTTCTTGTTTAAACAGAAGAAGGGAAATGCTCAGCAGGTCTCACTAAGCCTCTCTCCGTATCCTACTTAAGAGCTCCCAAACCATCCCTGGTATGGATAGGTCAGCTTGGAGGCTTTAACAAATTACCTCACCATGGGCAACATCAGGAACAGCAATCCCCTTTGAAAGAGCAGGAGCCTGGTTGTTGTATGTCAGCTGCTCTGAGGTACATGTGGGAAGCAGCTAAACCTTTCTGGAGGGACATTGGCTCTCTGCCCTGGAAAGGTGACACAGGCCAGGAAAAGGGCCCAGAAGACTTGTGCTTGGAGCACCTCAATATCCCTGACTTATACACTGGCATTCCTCAGGGATACCGAGGTCTGCACTCGTCACCATTATGTGTTTTTCATGTGTTTTTCAAGCCTGCATGCTACTTTCTTCAGCAGTTTTGTGTGAATGGAAAAGCTGTTTTGGATGTTCAGTTGATCTCTTTCAACTATTATGAAGTATCTGCACTTCTACCATTTATTTTCTTCCCTTTCTTTGCCAAAGGATGCATGATGTAACACACTATCTGGACAGCTGTTTTAACATCTGGGCTCTGTCAATCTCTGTCTTGTCACTGTCAGAAGATGATCAGGTTTTGTTGTCATAGGAAATATGCATCTAATACAATTATTATAGCCAGAAAGTCTTTTAAAAATATCAGCAACATGAGCTATTTGTTCTTTCAGGCATCCTCTGACATCACCTCTATCAAAAGGCTGGCATTGACTTGAAATTCATAACTTGAGCGGCTTCCAGTACCATTTTTCTGGATGTCCTGTGCCATTATCTGATGTTAGAGAAGCACCTTTGGATTATTTCAGAGATATTTTGGAAGATCTGCTGCTTGAGTAGAATAACTTTAAGGACTGATTAGAAGCAGAGTAAAAAACCCCAAAATCCTACAAGGAGCAAGATGATTCCAGATAGACCTTTTACCTTGCTGATGTTTTCATTGAACACTGAGAAAGCAGTATATTATCCAGATTTGTTAACAGAGTTAACTACAGGAAAGGCAGAGCTGCTCCACTGTGATGAGTTACAGTCTTGCTGTTCCTGTGAAACTGTAGTGCAAGGATGAGAAAGTCATGCTCCAGTATTCACATTTATTGGGAGCACAGGTAGTGTTTGCCTCTATCCCACCAGTTGCAAGGACTGATGAGGTGATAAATACGAAGACCCAGAAGGCTTCAAGACTGGTATTATCAGCAGGACTTTGTGGTTTTTTGACCATGGGCTGCTTTACAAGACACCAGGCCTGCCAGCATCAGATGGGGAATGCCTGTCTCAAAGAGGGAAAAGGATCCTGGTGAAAGAGCTAGAGGGACTCATTGAAAGGTCTTTAAATTAGGCTTGTAGGGGGATGGGAATGAAACTGCACTTGCTAGTAAGGGCTACCTGTGCGACAGTGTGGTACTAAGGTCTTACAGTCGGCTGTTTCAGCAGAGGTGGGGAATGGTGAACCACGCAGCAGCAAGACACAAGAGCTGACAGGCTGGTAACTATGGCAGCATCTGAGCATAATCTGGGGGGAATTAGGGCTTCCTCCTCCAAGAAGGCGGCAGGATCATTACCCCAGCTGAAATGCCTCTACACCGATGCACACAGCATGGGTAACAAGCAGGAGGAAATGGAGGCCATTGTCCAGCAAGAAAACTACGGTATACTTGCCATCACAGAAATGTGGTGTGACAACTCGCATGACTAGAGTGCTGCAGTTTTCGGAAAGGACAGGTGAGGAAAGAGCGGTGGTGGAGTGGCCCTCTATGTCAGGGAGGAATATGAACATCTAATACAGTGATGAAGTTGAGTCTCTAGTAGTAAGAATCAAGGGGAAGGCCAGCAAGGCAGATATTGCGACAGGAGTTTGTTACAGACCACCCAATCAGGAAGCAGTGCGGTTAGCAGAACTGCCACCTTGGACTTCTGTAGGGCAGATTTCTGCCTATTATCTAGATACAGTGCTCAGGGATATGGTTTAGAAGTGGACCTAGCAGAGTTACCTAACAGTTGGACTTGATGATCTTGAAGGTCTTTTCCAATCATAATGATTCTATGATTCGATGATTCGATGATTCGATGATTCGATGATTCTATGATTCTATGATCCAGTTGGTTTCCTTCTTTTCAGGAAACATCAGGTTTTGCATGTCAAATGACAGACTGGTTTAGGGCTGCTCTAAGTCAGGTCATTTTATTCATCCAGTGCTAAGCACAAACGCTTTTGGTGAACTGTCAGAAAATGAGAGAAATATCCTAGAGCATGCAGAGAACAAGATATTAACTGCTCCTCCTTCTAGAAATGGTCCAGATGAATGAACTGAAGCATATGGAGGATGCAGAAAACCTCAAATACCAGCAGAGGGTCTTCCAACTACCTTTCTCTCTCCTATGGCAGGGACCAGGGCTGGTGCTGGGCAGATGCTGTTGCAGTCTGCAACAGGTGACAGGCAGGGTTTCTCAGAGACCAGGGAAACCAAAAGGTAGAGGACAGGTTCCCTTGCTGGGCTGATTTACTGTTGTACACAGATAGCAAAGAAATACAAAGAAGAGGATGTAAGCAGGAAAACAGT